TAGCTTTGCCAAAGGAAACTCCATGCTCAGCAGCATTGACTCTGGGAGCTGTAGAGTTCACTAAATTGAGGCACATCTGTTTGCCTTGAGAAGTTCTCTGTTCTTTTTCTTCTGCCATTTAGGGCATTATCTTGCAAATGATTAATCACAAAAGACCCAGTCACTGACTTCTTGCACACAAAATACTCAGCACTGGCAAGAGGAGGGCCAGAGAGAAAACAGCTTAAAAATTTCTTCATTACTGGGAAAATATGTACATATTTATGAGAGGAGCTAGCTGTGGCACTCTTGCAGAGCTCCTACCTGTGAAAGCTGTAACCTTTGGAATACTGCAGCATCCGATCATGTTCAGCACAGGCACAATAATGTTGCTACTGACAGAAAATAAGAACCCCAAGGAACGAAGGGAAAGTTCAGTGTGATGTAAAACACACCTCAGAGAGCAGAAACACATCAGTTCCTTGTCCACGTGCCCCACAACAGGGGTCTTTTAGGTAAGTTCGATCTGTGACTTGTAAGAGCAATCCAAAAGCAAACCTGTAGATGTAGCACATTGCTGCTTCCATGTCAATACAATGATTCATCATTCCCATCAACACAACCTCATCGTTAGCATGTTTTGTTTCTGAACTGATTTAGGGAAAGAGACATACTTCAGATGCAGGTCTGTTGGAAGTGTCTTGAATGCTTCTTTCACTTGCCCACAATGATGTTTCTACGTTTGATCCTGGTGGTTTCTAGTCTATAGGTTCTGACACGTCTGTTCAAGACCCTCATGGTGTGGGTGTTAAGGTGAATACTTCTTCCTACGAAGATATACATGCAAGTAAGTGCATGACTCTTCCTTTTCCCTGAAAATACTCTTGCTGTGCAAATTTGGATTACATATATTTTGATGAAAAAAGCACGAAGTTTAACAGAATCAGTTAATGAAGTTTTATGAAACTTTGGGGGGAAAATAATACATTTGCCGTGTACTGTGTGCTTTTTGATGCAGATGGATGTAGCTACTTCTAAGAATTCCCCCAATGAAGCAGAAGGCAGCAAAGCTGACTGTGTATCAGTCTTCTGCTTGCTGCTGCCTGCCACCTGGGAGTGAGAATGGCGATGTGTGTGCAGAGAACAGTTGCTGCTGTGTCAGAGAACAGCCAGACCAACATCCATCCTTCTTGCCATACCCTCAGGCAGGGAGCTGCAGTGGGGGCACAGTGAGCTCTGTGAGGCTTGACACTAAAGCAGCTGTGCTTATACAAGGGCTTTGAGGCAGAGCTGTGCCTTGCTTTCCATCTATGCCTGCAAATACAGCATGTGGTTAAGGCCAGCACCTTGCATGTGCAATTCAGCGACTGCTAAAGCCCTCCAAAGAGAAATCAGTATGTCACACTGTGCATGTCTGTATGTTAATAGATACAGAGTTAGCCCCCTGTGTTTGATGGACTTCGAGCAGCAGGTAGAGAAGATGATGCTGGTGAGAAATTAACAATGTCAAGCATTATCCCTGCTTTTGATTAATTTGCAAAGACAAGTAATTGAATCCCCACACCCTTTCTGCACTGTAGTCATCTTCATCTCTTGTCTTTCCCTGGCCATCCCTGAATGCATATGCACATACCTCCACTTTGGTCAATAGAGTACAGCCTGTAAGTAATTTCTAGAGAGAGATTTTACTGCCTTTTCCCTCAGTAAGCTTGAGAAAGGTAAAAATTTTCTTATTATGGGTGCTTTGGTCATGAAGAGAAAATGATGCTAGATATGAACAGAAGAAATTCCTCTTATCCCTGGGAATTTTTAAGCATTAAATTAATTCCCCTATCTCTTGGAGTGTTAATGGGAAGGCTTTCAGCTCTGTGTAAGGCAGAAGTCCACATTTGCATTTAGATGGAGCTATTTTAAGGATTGTAGTATATACATAGGGGCCTGTATCCCATTTACAATAGGATCTGTAAGATAAAATTAATATCTAGTAAGTGGTTGTTTGTCCCATTTTGCTATAATCTGAACCAGTAACTGAAGTGGTATAATCTGACATAATAAATACCAGAGTCATTCAGTGGAGAGATATCCACACACAAGGAGGAATGCACTCTTTAACCAGTGAAGTGGGTTATGTTTTTTTCTCTTTCACGAGGCTGCTATGAAGCACTGAGTCCTGCCAGTGATACCTAGAAGACTTTTCTTCTGTAAAACAACCTGCTGTCTCATGGGGGGAAACGGGGAACTACAGCAGGGCTTTGGTGGGCTCTCAGGTGAGTACCTCAGATCCTTCCATTTATCTCTGTCCTGCAGACAGGCATTTCTCATACACACAGAAATCTGTGCTAAGTCATTGCTCCTGGTTTTTCATGCTGCTAATTTCCAGAAGCGCCCTGAAACATTAGCTTTGATAGGACTTAGGCAGATTGATGGGCTGAGAAAGTTGGGGCTGTTCAGCCTGGAGAAGAGAAGGCTGCATGGAGGCCTCAGAGCAGTCTCCCAGTATCTGAAGGGAGCCTACAAGGATGCTGGAGAGGGTCTCTTCATCCGGGACTGTAGTGATAGGACCAGGGGTAATGGGTTCAAACTGAAACAGGGAAGATTTAGGTTGGATATAAGGCAGAAGTTCTTGCCTGTGAGGGTGCTGAGGTGCTGGCAGAGGGTGCCGAGAAAAGCTATGGCTGCCCCATCAATGGCAGTGCTCAGGGCCAGGTTGGACAGGGTTTGAAACAACCTGCTCTAGTGGAAGGTGTCCCTGCCAGTGGGAGGAGGTTGGAACGGGATGAACTCTAAGGTCCCTTCCAACCCAAACGATTCCATGATTCTATAAAATGCTGGGTGCTTCTCTGGACTGCTGCCAAAGCGGGTTGCTGTCTGCAGCAGGATGATGTATGAAGCACCAAGTTTGGGGTTTCAGCCTGGTAGCACTCTAAAACTGTTGTTTCTCTGGCAGCTGCCAGCCAGGATGACGGAGAGTCCTGACATACAAGGAGTGACGGGTCTGCCTCGTCCCCGTGCCAAGAGAGGACTGAGGAGCCACTGTTGCATTTGCTGTGCATTAATTCTGGTGGCAGGGCTCGTGTGAAGTGGTGATGTAAAATCAATGGGTTTTGTTTCAAATCCAATCCACTTTCACTGACAGAAATTAGTCATCAGTGTAAAGCCTCTGCATCCAATGACACAGGGTAGCTCTGGAGTAATTCACTCCTGCAGCTGGAACAATGCAAAACCACCAGTCAGTTGATGGAGCAAGTGCCCCCTGACGAGAAGAGCTGCTCAGGTGCTGCTGAAGGGGCTTTTCAGGGGGGCTTTTAAGTGACACTTCCTAAAATTGTCATGTTCAGCCAAAAGTAAACTTCTGCTGGTTTTACTGCCTCTGGTTTTAGGCAACACTTGGCTAGGATTTCACATTGAATGTGCTGTACCTCCTTGTGCCACTCATTGGCAAAGGTATTAATTCCTAAAGGTACTTCTAAGGCTTTTAGTAAATAGATTTTTTTCACTTTACAGGGAATTCTCAAAAGCCCTTTTTATCCTCATGCCAAAAAAAATTGAACATATGAGCAAAAATTGACAGTCCCAAGCCCTCTAAACCGAAACCACATTTCAGGTGGATTGAAACTCTTTTCTTTGCTAAGTTGAAATGTTTCATATTGGTGTGACTCTGTGTTTCTTATGCTAAGTTGTATCTTATAATGGCTATTCTATGAGAATATTCTTAAGGAAGTTACTATGATATCAGAAATCAGCATGTTTCTATAGCAGCAAAAGCTTCTTTGAGTTTTCTGTAAGAAAGAACTTCAGTTCATATTGTGAATTTGGTTCAAGAAGTTCCCCATAATCAAGCACTGCCTCGTGGGAAGTCCTTGTGGGAAATACTCATAGTGCTGTGGGGCTCTGTGCTCTGTTTCACCAGGAATTGCTCAGATGATGGGGAGAATTAAAAACTTATCTCCCGAGAACACATTATCAGTGTTCCCAGGAGCTGCACCTAGCAGAGGCCTCTTTACCAGCTCCTTTTGTTACTTCTCACGCTGACAGCTATGAGAGAGCTTCTATTTTAGGGAGAGAGCAAACTCGCCCATTTCCCTGTCCTTCCAACTGTCCTGTGTTTGCCTCCTGCCTGCTAAGACCCAGCCGAAGCAGCAGTGATGCCAGATTGAATGTCTGAAACCCCAGAGAGGAGCCCTGAGATTGAAACCTAGATGAAAAGCCCCTATTTTTGCCAAGTGAACCCATATCTGTTAAGAATTGGAGTAGTGAGCAGTAATCCTCTAGCCTGACATAGAAGATCAAATGAATGGATGGGAAAAGGTAGATAACAGGGAAAAAGCTTGTTTTGGACTAGTTTCCCTAACAAGAGTGGAAGAATAGTGAGACGTGTCAAATTGACTTTACGGAGCAGGTTAATGCCAGCTACTTGTTTATCCTTGGAGATTCCTCAAATCCAGCAGATTTCAGCATTGCCTAATGAAAGCTTAGGGAAGAGTGGGAAATGGAGCATGTACACTTCAGAGAAGGGGAAGATGCAGATGAAAACAAATGAAAAGCCTCTCTCCTTCATGTTTCAAGTGCCAAATTATGCTTGACATTTCAATTTCCCCAAGGCGTGCTTCTGTAAAATCGTCTTGAACTCTCTCCTCAAAGTGTTAAAGCTTCCATCAGCTCCTCCAGTGGCATCAAACAGGTCTGATTCAGTTGTGTCTCGGGTGTGAAATGTAATCATTGTTACAGCACTGCACAACTGGCATTCAGAAGCAGCACCCAACATCTCCAGTGTTTTCATGGATGGGCTCCACAATCTGCTTTACAACAGGGCACGATGCAAATGCCATTCGCAGCTGCTCAGGTGGGAGATGATCGGGTCCGGTGACGTGTGTGTGGCTCATTTTGTACCATTTCTGGGAATTTGGGATGTTTACCACTTGTGTGGCTTGTTTCACATGAGGAACTCCATGTTATGTCTCTATAGCCAGAAGGTCTCAAGTCCTTTAGAGATCTGAGGGGGAAATCTGTAGCCACTAAAATTCTCATTAGTTCTCAGTGTTCCAGCATATTTAGGAAGTTTGAAAGCCTGAGTATTTGAAGTGTTTTGACCATGTCCCCAGTGAAAAAGAACAAGAGTAGAGAAATGGCAGAAACGCTGTGTTTTTCCCAATCTGTTCTATTGATGTGTTTTGTTTTTCTTTAGCTTGTTTTCTTCTAAAGGTCAGTGAAATTTTCAGTTGCATAAATTTCATTGACTTTCCTCATTGCAGACAGGCTTTTGAGGGAGATGCTGAGCTTACGTGCACTGCCTGTGCCAAACAGAAGAAAGCCTCCTCCCGTGTGAGTGGGAAGAATGGTGACCCAGCTTTTGAGAGACCTCGCTTGAATTGCATTCTTTGAGAAATATACCCTTGGGCTGTGGTTGCTGAGCACTTGAGAAGGCCTGTGATTGATGACATGGTCATTACGAAAATGATTAAGAGCAGCCAGGATTTGCATTTACCACCTTGGCCTTTTCCAGTGTCTGCTAAACTGTGGTCTCGAGACCACCACTGATGCACACAACGTGACTGTGTGTGTGTGGAGGGGGGAATGGGGGAGCTGTGATTAATTTGGCTGGCAACATGATGCTGGCTCTCTTCTTTGATTGCAGCTGATGAATAGTATTTTAAAAGCTAAGAATACATTAAACACTTTGCTATAGCTCCTATACAGTCTGAGGGCCAGAACCGCAGCTGTGCTCGGTTTACAATGGGTGCAGCTGAAGAAAGAAGAGGAAGGAAGAGGCTGCTTTTAGCTTAACTCGAGCTATAGATTCTGCTTATCTTGAGAAGTGGCTGGGGGCACAGGCTTTGGTGGTGGGAGTAGGGTTAGGGGTTGCTGGTGGGGGTTTGGGCAGGAACAGGAGTAGCATCCACCAGTTTTGTCTGCTCCATAGAGTTAAAATATCAAGCTGTTGCATGAGCAAGGGATTTATGTTCCCTGCCTTCCCTCCATTGCTGTTGCCCCTGTGTCTAGGTCTTTTCTGTCCTTGCAGAGTTGAAGCTCCTGCCATGCCTGTGAACATTCACCCCCCATGTCATGGGAGGATGTCACTGTGGTCCTCAGGAGGTGCCAGCCCCTCACATTTGTTTGTGTGCTCCCTGTTTCTGACACAGCAGGCACCCCTCCGGGTTGATCACCGTGCGGATTTCCCTCTGCAGGGATCCTCTGGGACCTCACCATTACCCTGATCTCTCTTTGTACAATACAGCAGCTCTTATCTAACACCTATTTTTCAGTTCTTCATTGTGCTGGTTGTTAATAACAATTAAAACTTTCATTGCAGAATCCCTCACCCAGTGTTTGTGCCAGGACTTTCATCGCAATAGCCCTGCTTTGATGGCAACCATTGAAGGAGATAAAAATGACAGCTTTGGAGCAGTATCTTCATGGAGCATGATGACTCTTGACAGCAGGAGACACATTCACCTCCTGAAGGCTACGGAGCACCTGTGCCTGAACAGCAGACAAGGTACCAAATAACCCTATTTTCCCTCCTAATCAGGGTAAGCAAGAGAACTGCCTGCCAGGGCCTCACAGGAAGGGTGAGCAAGGGTGATAAGGGATCATAGGCAAGAGAGACTCCACCATCATGGCAGTTCTTCACTGATGCCACTGTCCGCTGGTTGCCAGCCAAGTCCCAAACTGTGCCCCGTGCTTTTATTATATGCTTCCATAATAAAATTATTCTATTATATGCTTCCATAATAAAATCAGAGGAAGATTTGGGTGTGTTTCCCACAATGTGGGAGATAAAGAATTCGCCTCTTGCAGAAAAGCATGGGATATTGCTTCTACAGTTTCCCACCTATCTGCTCTCCATTACTTGTTAGCTTCCATATACTTTGCTCTCTCCAGCCATCCCTCCTGCCCCCCAAAGGTTACTCTAGACAGGTTGGCTTGGCACAGGGCAGCCATGACAAATCTTTAAACTGTAATGATGAATGAGACTCCATTGCCCAGTCCTTCTGGAAAGAGATTTTAATGTGGATTAAAATAAAAGAGGTTTGATGGATGCTGGAAATGTCTCCCTTTGGCTGTTAAGAAAAAAATCTGAATGCCTGTAATATTTCTGCCGAGAATTACAATAATTGGTATTTAAATAGTATTCTGAGCAGAGCTGCAATTGCCTCAGAAAGCCAACCCCAGGAGCAAGATCTCTTGTCTTTAAGAGCTCAGCCAGGCTTGGGAACTTAAAAAGAAACTCGAATTATTGGGAATTTAAAACATGCCCTTGCTTTGGCTTGAATGCAACATCAAAGCAGGAGCCTGTATGTTCCTGAAAAAATGCTTCTTTCCCTCCCAGCTGCTAAATGCTGTTTCTCTGCTGATTTTATTAGCACCACTATCACCGCATCACCTCCATCCACAAACACCTTTTCAGTGTGCTCACAGGAAGGAGTCAATTTTGCCCTCTCAGGGGGAGAATTACCCACAACCCAAATAACTAGTGCCAGGAGCTAGAGAAAGCTGGTAGTTTGACAGTCAGCTCTATTTCCCTTTGGAAACACTAGGCGCATTGATGCTCTGTATTGAGAGGGCCTCTTAAATCAAAGGATATGTTAAATCCATCACCTAACTTGTGATTACACTGGATTCCATTGCTATGGTGCTCTTGTATTCAAGAGCCACTGGCCAGATTCTGTCTCACTTCCCCAGGACCCAGTGGTTTCAGATGGACACTCTGTTCTCCACTACCTCCTGCTCTCCTCTGGACTTCAGTGCTCAGGAAAGTCACTGCACTCCTGTGATCTCTACCCAAGAAGGGCTGAATCACTGATTCATAGTAAGTTGCACAAAACTCATTTTATAATGACAGGGTTTCTTTGAGGCAAGCTCTACTATCTTTGTATGTGTAAGATACTGCTGCTCTTTCCTGCTTCTTGCCAAATCCAACATCTTTTATTTGCTTGCCATCCCACATAGTACTTGAGTCTCTGCAAATCAAACCTCTTAGAGTACTGCTCTATAATCATTCAGCTTTCCTAGCATGCATTCATGACCCCAGCAGATGGCTTCACTAATGGACACACACTGGTGCCAAATGCTATCAAAAAGCTCTGTTTCAGGTAAGCTGGGAGCTCTAATGGTGTTATTTTTAAGTTTCAGACCAGCCCAGCTCACTGGCCTCACACAGAATGTTTTTAATTTCTTTCACTTTCTACCAAAGCCTCAATTACTTGTACAGCATTTGAGAATTAACAGGACTAGGTAGGTCTGTGAGTGTCACACAGCACGTAACAGTGTGACATAGCCAAACTAGTGGGGATGAACCAGTACAGCACAGCTGAGAGCTTTCACACTCTGCCCAAATGCTGGACCAGCACTTCTGGTAGCAGAGCTAAAACGTGTGTGTGTGCAGCACTGGATGTGGTATATAGACATAGCTGACATTTCTAATGTCAGCAATAACTACTGTGAAATGTCTCCTTTTGCTCTGAAATTGTTAGAGTTTCATGTGCCAGCAGCAGCTCTAGTCCCCAGCTGAGATTAGAAGTCCATTAAGTGCTTGAAATTGTGGGGAATGCATAGTATGAGGATGTGCACTCCTGACCAGCTCTTTATTGCTGATTGCCTAGCTAATCCAGTTAACCTTGTCCCACTCAGGTATCCATCCACCCATAGGTACCCACCTATATAGACAGATCTCTCCAGCAAGGTGCTGCTCAGGGTGGTAGATGCTTGAGCTACTCCAATCTTCGGATTGTATTTGCATCCTCTGATTTTCAAGAGCTTTTTAAAGTGAGAGGGAAAGTGCTTAACCTCATAGAGCTGCTACAAGCTGAATTTATAGATTAAACGTAGGCATTGCAAGTTAAAATCGTTACTACTCCAAATGGGAAATAATTCTACTAAAAACAGTGAAAATTACCAAGTCAGGGAAGCAGTTAGTTGTCTAACATTTCCTCTCTAAGGAAATAAAGAAATAAACCATTGTTCTCCTGTGACATCTGTTGCTTTTTTTCCCCCAGTGTAATTCTAGTGATTCCTGCAGCGTTATTTCTGGGAGTGAAAAAGTGGAAATGCTCTGTTCATCTTGAAGTGGCTTGTATAAACTCAGACTTGAGTCAAGTGAACATACACAAGGGAAAAAATGAATTGGGTCAGATAAATCGTCCTGAAGAGGAAATGTCAATGAAGAGGTTTGTGAAAGTAGGAGCACAATGGAGATACTTCAGTTTCTATCTGAGTAGTAAATCAACTGCAGCCAGTGATTGCCAGTGGCGAGATAAGTTAGTTACTGCTTATTGAAGGTTAAAGAGAAACCCTTCCTGGAAGTGTTCAGCATCTCAAGTGGAGGTGATGAGAGCATGGCAACCAGTCTGTACTTAAAATCATAAGTAGATCTCTCCTCAGATCTTAAAGAGTATTTCACTGTGCACAGTCAGGGGATTGGTTGATCCACATGTGATTGAGATCCCTCATTCACACTTAGGGATAATGTATTTGCATGTTAATGAGATTCCCAATTCTGGTTCTTAATAACTAAAAATACCATCTTTTTACGTTTTTGGTAGTCCTCAGGGTGCTGAGTCTCTGAAGCTACAGTAACATCTCATGCTCTGGTGGTTGTGGGCTTTTATTAACTCGGATGTCTCCCATCTTTTGTGTAGACCACCCTTGACACCAGGACATGAAGCAAACAAAGGCAGAAGCCCCACTGCCACCAGCCACATGTTTTTTGCAGAGTGCATTGCCCAGCCCCAGAGCCATAAGCCGTGACCATAAGAAGCTTCAGATGCTGGCAGAGCAGCAGGGATCATTACAACTGAATAGAGCCATATACAAAGGTGGAAAGATCCTCTTAGCACTCATTAATTGTAATTTTCAGGATTAACGCAAAAGATCTGGCAGCTTGACAGAAGAGAGTTTTACCACTGCGGCTGGCTGGAGCTGAGGGAAGGGTCACTACCTTCCCCCATCCCTCCAGCCACAGGTAAAGAGAAAGGCAGAAGTAACTAGACAGGGAACAGGGATATAAAGCACCTGATAGGCCAGAAGATGTATTTTACACAAGGTAGTGTAAATATTCATGTGATTTATTACAGTAGCAGACTTCCATTGATAACCATATTGAATTGAGAGTTATTTAGAAGCTGAGGGGATCAATACAGCAGGTGGGAGCCAAAGCCTCTGAAAGCAACTGAAGTAGAAGTGTATTTTGCAGTGCCTCACTTCTTTGTGAAGTCCTTTAGCTGTCCCTTAAGCCTCAGAGTGAACTTCACCATATAAATATGTATGTGTAAGTATGTAGAGTTTACTGATGTAGCAGTGGACATCCTTCCAAAGGCCTGGGCCAAGGTTGTGCAGTGAGCTTGACTTCTGACAGGCTGTTGGGCAGTTTAATTTCTTTTAGGGAATCCTTCATTTCCCTGGGCAGATTATTCCCATGGCTGATTGTTCATATTGTGGAATATTTTCCTCTTGAGTCCAGCCAGAATCTCCCCAGGGATAATGTGCCCAGCACTGCTTGTCTTTTCCATGTGGCTCCTTGCAAAAAGGAAGTCTCCATCTTCCTTGTAGCCACCCTTAAAATACCAGAACATGGTGACAAGGTCTCCCCGAGCCTTATTTTCCCAAGCGTGAACAAACACAGCTCTCTCAGCCTTTCCTCATGTGGCTTCTCAGTCCTTGGATCATCCTTGTGGCCCTTCTCTGGACCCTCTCCAGCCTGTCCACATCTCTTTTGCATGGCAGTGACCAAACCTGGACACAGAATTCCAGGGGTGGATAAACCAGGTTGTTCTGCAGTACATCAGAAACTTCTCACCACTGTCTAACCACTGTTGGTCTTGTGTGTTTCTAAGTATTGGTTTTTACTCCCTATCACTTTCTATTACATTTCTTCCTTCAGAATAAAAATAACTCAAATATCCCTAATCTTTTTAGCATGGAATTTTAAGATTTTAATGGGCTTGTTTTAATTTGCACATTTTCTTGTTAATAATGAAATCAGTTTAACGAGAGTTAAACCAAAAAGCCTGTAATGGTAATTCAAAACATAAAACTCTAGTGCATTTCTGTAAGAATTCCCTGTTAATATTCTTAAGGCTTTTTAATGGGCACTTTAAGTAGGCATTGGTATTAGCAGAAACAGCACACAAATTAAAATTAGGCTCTTGGTGACTATTTTAAAATGAATATTCACAGACTTTTCGGCATGAAATTAGATCTAGTTACATTTGATGCTGCTGCTATGTTTTAAGGAAGTATACTGAAGAAAAGATAGTGTTGCCTGTGAACTTATTGCTGATAGTTAATTTAATTTATTGCAACCCATTGAAGGTAACAATCAGATTTTATATAGCATAGCCCAGGAGCCTGTGTCAGGCTTTAAATCTATGGAGATGGAGCCTGAGTTAAATGATGGAATTAGGAATGAGGACTTCCAGCTCTGGCTGGGATTCTCATTTCACTTGGATAGATTATAAACCTGCCATGCTTGCTCTGCTTGTCGTGCTGCTCAGAAGTGGGAAATCTGCCTTTCAGGGTGAGTGGGAAATTGTGTTCTTCCTTCACAAATCCTTGCTGGTCTTTGCTGAATTCTTTCCCTATTCTCCTTTTCTTCTTCTGAATATACAGAGCTAAACTCAGCATTATAAAATCCAGATTATTGTCCCCAAGTAGCATGGCAACAAAGCATGCACTTACATTTAAACACATACAAATCCACTGAAGGTCCACGGGATTGAAGCATATGGTATAAATTAAGCAAAAGGTAAAACCTGAAGCAGTAGCTTTAGGAACACACTTTTGGGCTGAGCTGATGAAGTGAGAAGGAAACATCCCTACCTACCCACCCTATGAAGATATGTCTGTAACCTGCTTTGTGTTGCTATTGTTGTGGGGTGGTCAGATTCAAAATCTGCCCTAGTTTTTCTGGTTTATTCTTGCAATAACACCTTGTGCCTGCCTCCAGGTTCCTGGAATCAGACAGCGCTTTCCATGATATATCTTGGAGCTCTTAAAACAAAAAGCAGAGTGTCATCTTCCTGCTGATGAACACCACAAGGACCTGTCATTCCCCTGATGTAGTACAGCGTGAGAATGGTCTCCCTTCAAAATTCATCACTGGGGCAATGGCATTTTGAGTTATATGGTGCCAGGATGGCAAGTATTTGAGCCGTTCACAAATGGAGACAAGACAGGGTCAAAGCACACACTTAGTTTTCACGTGGGCAGCTGGACCGTCTGAAGTGATAAAAATTGGGTTAAAGTCATTGTCATTTAGAGGGCAGTGATGAAGTGATGCTGGATTCAAGCACTTCAGTGGTCTGGGTTCCTAATTCCCATTCACAGAAGTCACCATCAGATGCTGGTGGTTGAGGACAGCACAGGATGTGTGTGCAGCCCCACGGTGCTGTAGCACAAGTGTGCTGGAGGGTCAAAACCAAGATGAAGGCAGTTGAGTCCCTGTACAAATGCTATTGTCTGTTTTACTTACTGTTACCCTTAGGAGCCTGCTGCTTGCACCTCTCCCTTGCTTGTGCATGAGGAATGTGCTGCCTGTGCTGCGCATTCCCAGTATTATTAAAAAACAAATGGTGAATATACTTGCTCTGTAAGGCCTTAGCTTCAAAAATGCTGTATCCCCTGGCTCCCCTCACTGCTGTGAGCGGGCTCACTGGTGCCTGTAACACTGCCTGTAACAGCAGCAGTATTCAGTGCTTAAATATTTGCAGGCTCACTGTCTGAACTGGCATTCTTTGCCAAAACTATCTGGGCTCCATGAAAAACTCGTGGAATAAACATGAAAATGCAGGGCCAGCTTTGTAGCTAGGACGAGTTAGTGTGGTTCTGTGGCAGCTAAATTGAGGATCTGCTCCTCCTTGGTGTCTGAATTAGATATGCAAGGAAAAGGAACAATGCCAGCAACTGTGTACACAGTGCCATGATGAATTGGCGCGTCTTCTGATTTATTGTTTTGATTTTGCTGTTTGCTGCTGCTGGGAAATTATGCAAATTCTTCTTGTACAGGAAAAGAATACTGATAATTAAGAAATGTGCAGCTTGGATTTAAGATAATCTCATAAATCCACACTAGTGTCCTCACAGAGCAGCACGTTAATAGCTCTGGTAACTGCTGTCTGACAACCAGGACTTCTCAGCCCTCCAAGAGGTCACTTGGCACATCTCTCACTGAACACTGTAGGTGGGAATGAGGCGCTTGCATGAGGAGAACAAGTGAGCAGAAAAAGGGCAGGACTACAAGGCAAAAGGACCTGGCCACCTTTGAGGCCAAGTTCTGCAGGTCTACTTAAACAACTTTGTCCATTTAGGGGAAGAGAAGGTTAAGCACCTTTGGTAATGTGCCGGCTCAGAGCAGAGATGTCACTTTGTTGTTTAGGGGGGAACAGGCACTGACTGGCAGGAATGGCAAACAGACCTTCTCTGCAGGTAACCTCCTTAAAGGTCAGAAAAGATCACAGCCTTTGGAGGTTAAGCCATTTCTAGCTATGGCTCAGGCCTACTGCGATAAATCACAATCATTTCTGGAAGGTTTTGGCTGTGCAGTGAAGGTATCTGTGCCCTGGGGGTGCAAGACAGTGAACTTGTAAGTATTTTAGGCCGTCTTCTACTCTTGTGCAAGTGATGCACAGAGCTGCCTCAGAGGGGCAAGTGCCAGCCCAGATAGACAGTATCGCTAGGAGAAAAATGCTTCCCTGTCCAGAGGGCTCCTCAGCTGGAGTTCTTGCTGCAGTATCCCATGTGTGTGCAAAGTTCCTCAGTCTTTCCCACACTGGGTGTTAAATTGAGTTTGTGGTCCACAGAGAACCATGGGCAGTACGGACTTCAACTTTAACACGAGTTGATTGAGTCTCAAAGCTGTTACTGTGATTTCCAGGTATTGCAATTTCTACCCAAGGGATGGAAAAAACATCATAAATCATTTGTTATGTGGAGTAAAAGAAAGGAGTTTTACTAATCAGGCCTCAGGACCAGCATTCTGAGGGTTTATGGTTGAGGTCAAATGGCCAGTGAAATTCCTCCTCCATGCACTGTGCTGCCAGAAGAGCCCAGCCATGCTGGTCTGCAGGGCTTTTGAAAACCCAACTGTTAATGCCAGTTGAAAATCTAGCCCTAGTTATGGAAATGGAGTAGGTCAAAGCTTAGGCCCAGATATAATGAGCACAAGGGTAAGATGGGTAGGTTATTTTCAACTACAGCAGACAACCTTATCTGCGTAGCCTCTGTACAATTGAAATCTGCAAGAATCTCAACCAGGGAGTCACATTAGCAGAACGAATATTAACCTGGGAGCCTCCACAAAAGAAACTTTACCTTGACTTTCTGATATATATATATATATGTATTTGACTTGATACAGTACTGTCACTGAGCAATTTAATTCTCTTCTGGGCACAATTGTCAACCTGGTTTCCAGAAGGGACACAAGCCGCAGGATTTATTTTATTCCATTTAAGTAACTATGACCAGTTGTCATAAATTGAGGAGCTGAAATTGCCCGTTCCCTAAGGCTCTCTAACAAATGAGATCAGAAGTCCAATGAATACATGTCTTGCAAAGCTTTTCAGTTCAATTACATATACCCATGTGCAACTGGTAACACCACACTCAGTTCAAATAGTATCTTTGCAGGTGTGAAAGACTGCAAATTGAAGTCTACTTCACATCAGTATCCAACATGTTACTGGAAAGATTAAAAGGAATATTTTCAAGGGACAAAGGATGAACAATTAATGAGCCCTGGAGTGACTCTGAAACAGGTAGCAAAGAAAAACAACTGTAAAAGGAGAAACCATCAGAAGTGAGCAGTTTGGTGCCAAGTTTCCGAGGAGATTAGTGGAGAGTTTCAGTAGATCCATTAGTGTTTGCAAAGTACTTGTGGAGTGGATCAATGAGCATCATAGAAACTCCCAGGAGGAAGTGAATTAAAAGCTTTTGCTTTTGCTTTTTTTACAGTGGGAAGCAAATAAAGCAGAGCTCACACACTGGCTGATGAGACTAAGGCAAGGCATTGTATGGACATCTGCTCAAGTGAGGGCTCAGGTCTGTCCCTGCCTGAGTTAGGGCAAGGTCAGGTGGAAAAATATGTGGCCATGATAAAACATTGTGATGACAGCCAGCAGAGGACAAATCCGTGTTTTCTAAGTGACTTTAAGTCCATCTAGTTTGAGCTTTGGGTTTTTGATTTTAGATTCTGAGCATTTGGTGGGGGATGGCTATTTGTACATGGGCAATAAGCTCTGGAACTTGGTTTTAGTGGGAGCAATAAGAAGGTACTAAAATCCTGAGAGCCACCTTAAAAAGGCAGCACCAGATCTCCAAATGATTACGCCAGCACAGCACCACTGAAGCTTCCCAAGTGCTATTGATTTACACCAGTTGAACATCTGGCCCATATGCTTTGTATTATTAAATACTTCTGCGATTATTATGTGAACAATTAAGATTCATGGAAATGAAAAAGCAGGCTATGAATTGAGCCTTCACTGCAGTGCAGAAGGAGGAGTTGCTCAGGGAATGTGCTGCCTTTTACTGTAGCTCTGCAGTTTGTCTCTTGTTTTTCTAGAAGCCAGAAAGTGAATGGGACCCCAGGAGATTTTCCAGGCCATCTTTCTGCAGGGAAGGGTCAGCTTCAGCCCTGTCATATTTCATAGAATCCCAGACTAGTTTCGGTTGGAAAGGACCTTAAAATTCATCCAGTTCCAACCCCATGCCACAGGCAGGGACACCTTCCATTAGACCAGATTGCTCCAAGCCCCATCCAACCTGGCCTTGTACACATATTTGCTCAATATGTTCTTAAAACTCCAACATGTGGGACCCCACAGCATATCCCAGCACTCATGTACTGGTGCTGGGGTACTGCAAGAATCTTTTCCTCTATCCAACCTACCTCTGTCCCTGGCTGCTCCTGAGCTCTCCAACCTCTTGTCCTGTCCACCACTGCCATAAAGAAGAGCACAGTCCATTCCCTTGGCTGGCAGCCCTTCTTTGTATGCAAAGTTTGTTATTTTGTTTGTCTCTTCCGTGAAATGTAATGTTGTAATGTTCAGTCTGGTCAATCGTGTTGGAATTCAGTGCTGAGAAAGTCCAGACAAGCCCGAGTAAATGTTAACACTGCAAATTCTTTATTACTGTTTTTTCCTTAGGCCTGATTCCCTTTCATGGTTTCCTGCTGAAGTACAGAAGTACATCCAGCTATAAGAGAAAAAGATCCATCTTTCAGCATCAGGAGATTAAAGGGCTAGAGTGAGATAACATTTTGCAAACCTGAAACGATTTGAAAATCCCTTTCCTGCTATTTCTGGAAAAAAGTCAATGGCAGGGCAAGATTATCTTCATTAATAGTGTGAGAATGAGTGTTGGCTGCAAGTTTTGTTTAACCTGAAAAGCAGCATTCAGCAGCTGCATTTCCACAGCTAAAATAATACCCAGAGAATCCAAAAACCTTTGCCACACAGAAAATCATCCTCTGGTTGTGTGTAATGGAGCTCAGCAGAGTAATGTGCAGGAGAGAAGGGTAACCTTTGAACATCTCCTCAATCCCCCGGGACTGGCGCGTTGCTGATTAACAGATGCTTGGTGACTTGAAGTTCCCAAAGTTAAAGCTTTGCCTGCATTGCACAAGTCACTGGTTTTATTGAGGGCTTGGGAGAGACATTTTTTGGCTTTTATCCTACTTTTCAGTCGCGGAATGATGTGACTGCTCTGAAGTGAATGCAACTGTTTGTCAAAGTGGAAGCAGCGTTGTGGGAACTGCTCTGCAGGGCCTGACCCACAGCATCCTGCCACTGATGAGGACCATGGGCACCTTCTTCAGGAGGTGTTTTAGAGGCTCAACTCAGCAGCAGGCAGCATGAGCTAATAATGCCCTTTGAAAACACCTCACTCCCTGTAGATATTCTGCATGTCTGGACAGAAGGGCTGTTAGTTCGGGTTTTGTTTTTACTGTTTGCATCCAGGCTTCAGTTTCTGTACAGAGCTATGGAGGAGCTATTACAAACCCTGCCTCCTCTGCAGCCTCATGTCAAGTAAGGCAAGAAGGGCATTGCCTTTGAAATAAGAGGTCTCCCTGTGTTTGAAAAGCAGCTTGCCCAAGCAGCTCCAGTGTGGCACCATGATCCTAAACTGACTGTAGCCTAAGCTGACTGCAGCAAAGTCTGTGTTGCCTACCCACCAGACACTATTCTTCAATTCCCTGACCAGTATAAACCCTTGTCAGGCCATGGACTCAGTGCAAACATCAATTGCTTTGTCCTCATTAAAATTTCAAGTAGTATTGGCTCAAGTGGAAAACATACATTTCTATGCTAAGGACAAGGCTACAGGAACCTGAACCAAAGTAATGTGGTTCAGTGGGAAAATTAGAAAAAGACCCAGAAACTGCTGGGGTCACCCTTCACAAAGATTGAGACATTCATGTGAGGCCATACAAGGTTTCTTTTTCCCCATTGACTTTCGTGCTTTGGGATTAGGCAGGTCCTTCTGGAGGGCTGTCATTTACACGTCTTGAAGTCAGGCAGCTGTTATCTATTCTCCTCCTGAACACATCCAACACTTGGTCAGTCACTGCAGCTCTGTCACAGCAGCTGCACGGAGGGCCAGGGCTGTGTGCGGGAAGAAGGTCTAATTAACAAAATCTACACTCCAAGAGTTTGCTGTTTTCCGGGCACTTCTCCACCTGCCAAGCTGTGCTGGTGTTAGCAGTGCACAGCGAGAGGAGTTTTAGAACAAGTGCTGGCAAAATCCCAGCCCCTGTCCCTGAACAAAACGCTGCCAGCTCCCAAAAGACTTGTGTGACAGGCTGAGCCCTGTAGCTGTCAGTTCTTCCCGCCCTTTGAGGGTCTGCTTATTACATTTGAATACTTTACCTCTTAGGTGGTTCTTCTAGCAAAGTGTTGCCTGTATAAAGAAGAAATAAGGGTCTTACCACGGCTGCCTTTAATTCGTTAAATAAATAGGATAACTTTGACTTCTGTTGTTGTTCTAATGATAATAATCTGCATTTGATTTACGTTTTGTACAGTACAAGAGGTACATCTTCGAAGAGAGTTGTGTTGTTGGTCTACCCCAGCAAGGTGAACAAATGGAGGATGTTGCCTTTACAAAGCCCTGTGATGAGGCAACAGAGAGGTGGAAGTGTTCAAAAATAACCAGAGGCAGAGCTAGGGCAGGCACACAGCCTTCCCTTTCCCTTTCCTTTTCTATTACCTCTCTCCCTTTTCCCCTTTCCCCTTTCCCCTTCCCTTCCCTTTTTCATCACTCACACTCAAATCAGTGACAGTTCATATACGAAGGGCAAATAAACCCAGGAGAATTATTTGGAGATGGAAGTTCAGAGAGGTGTGGAGAAGGAAGGATTTGGTGAGTGAAGGTTTTGTGATGAGACTCACTGGCTGGGATTGCTTGGCAGAATTATACTTCATTACTGATGCTTCACAGCCTTGATTTTCATATTTATTTGTGACTTTTCTTTTTTAAACCATGGGCTTTTTGACACGAGAGTCATGCTGCGTAAAGCGCTATTGATTAGAGTTTCTAATTTCATGCCAGTACAGCATGACCATTGGGGAATGAAATGTGTTTTACTTTCTCCACCACGGCTGTGCCAGCAGTGCCTGGGGCACAGCCATCATGCAGCCTGTCAGCAGGAGGCATTTGCAGCTAAAGATGTTTGCTGTTGGAGCCAAAAGGCGAGTTTGCCCAAGGTCTAAGCCTCAGCTCAGTCTGTTGGTCCTGGAATTAGAACAGATCAGTGGCAAAGTGTATTTTGAGACCAGAGGTTTCCAGAAGGATGGCTGACTTGGCCACTTTCCATTTTTCACTTAGGCCTGCAAAAGGCCATTTGTTTCCTGTACCTTCCAGAGGAATGGTTGCCATTTGCTGTTAATACCTGCTGTCTTTCCACCGTGTCTGTTTTGGTGCTCAGAAAAGTGAAGGAAGTCACTAAAGGGGTAGGAAAATCCCAGATGGCGTACAAACTGCAAGAATGAACTGATTGCAAACCTGAGGAAAACGTGTCCTAGCCTTATTATAAATAGTTTTTTCCTTGCACATGCTGGATTTGGGCTCTTCTGAAGTTTCCCAAGGAGAGGGTTCATGCTGAGACAGGGTTGTTGGTGCATTAATAACTCTTCACCCCATTGGGGCTGCCTGGGGGCACCTTCTCCTTCCCTTTTCCTTCAGGTATCCTCCAAACCCACTGGGTTCTTTGGTCTGTCCCAGAACAATCTCTAAGCAGATTCCTTTAAGCTCTTTCCAAAAATCACCACCTTTTTTTCCCCCCTGTGTAACAAAGGCTTGTGCTATCCTGAGGTAAAGACACCAGGAAGAGAAAGTCAGCCTAAGTCTGCAGCTGAGCTTGTCTCTAATGAGTTTCCCTCACGGTATAACTAACGTGGCTTGTCTTACACTCTGGTTTTACCTCTTAACAGTAGATACACACTCACTGTCCTGAACTAATGAAGCTTTCCAGCAGTGAAGACAGGCTCTAGCAGAGCAGCTATAGACATGTGAACCCCTTACAAATAGCCAGATGAGAGACAAGTGAATGCTTGAAATCTGACAAAGGGGAACCAGCCGAGAAAGTTCTCTGACTTCTGCTTTATCGCAGGAGCTCCTGACACCCGCTGGCAGGTGATGAATTAGTGCTGCGCAGCTGGAGCTGCTCAAAGGCTGCAGATGCAAATCCCAGAGCTGCTCCCACAGGTACTTGAGCACTGGAGATAATGTGGACAGTTTTGGGCTTCCCCTGCAAAAAGACATTAATGAACTAGGGTGAAGCTGAGAAAAATGGGCCTTTTTTTGAGGAGGCAAAGGGGGTATCTTGTTGCTGTCTGTGACACTTCACAGGAGGATGTGCAGAAAGCAGAGCCAGGCTGTCCTTGGAGATGCACAATGACAGGACAAAAGGCAACAGGCACAAATTGCAGCATGGGAAATTCTGATTAGATATGATGTAAAAAGCGTCTACCCTGAGGATGGTCAGATGCCAGGTGAGGGGCCCAGAGGGGCTGTTGGATCTCCAGTCTTGGAGATGTTCAAAATTCAGCTGGACAAAGCAGCCCAGTAAGTTGGCCCTGCTTAGTCCGGAGGTCATAGTTTAAGTGTGGTTGGTGTGACCAGTGTGTGACACTGGGCCTCACACTGCTGATCAGTCTGTAGTTATGAATTAGGCTCAAACTTTCCAAGCAGGAACCTAGTCCAGCTCTAGCTAAATCTGCCAGGTCAGTCCGCTTACTTCTCAATAATACTGGTCTCCTTCCATGCTGCAGGATGCATCTTGCTGGCACTGGCAGTTACAAGTGCAGCCCTTCAGACAGGAATTGGGAGTGGGACATGAGATATGGTGCTCTACCAAAAAGCTGTTCCCAAAGCCAGCAGGAGAGAAGAAACCACTGCCAACCTCTGTGAAGCACCTGCTTCCAACAGCAGCTCCACCGTGGGGAACAGGTTGGTGATGTCTCTTGATTTCACTGTGGGTTGTGGTGAGATAGAACTTAAACAGGGGAAGTTTAGATTGGATATAAGGAAGAAGATCTTTACTGTAAGGGTGGTGAGGCACTGGAATGGGTTGTCCAAGGAAGCTGTGAATTGGTGATTAGCAAGCACCCCTCCAGGCACAGGGCATGGCAATGCGGAATGGGTGTCAGGCAGCCAGGCTGGGTAGTTTACTGTAGTGCCATGCTAGTCTTACTGTTTTGTTTCAGGAAGGTGCCCCAGCTGGCAGCTGTATCTTAAAATCTTGGCTCCAGACAAGGGTCTGTCTCTCTCCTGCACAGCTTTGGCTTTGCCCATCACCTGCACACATCAGATTAGCACTGCTAGAGATAACGGTGAGAGATGCCATGACTCATGGTCCATCTCCTGCCACTGCCTGGTGTCAGGCTTCCTCTCCAGCAACCTGCAATGCAGCCAGGAAACGCTGGGAGGGGAGTGCTTGGCCTTTCCCCAGCGCTCAGCTTTCAGTGTAACACAATCCCAGTGAACTCTGCACCTACCTGCTGCCTGCAGAGTCCTGTGGGCTTTTGCCAGCTTGCTGTCATTTATATACATTTCTAAATATCACAGAAGTATTTCTGGGAGAGGGAAATGTGGAATGAATGACACGGACCTGCAAGCAGCAAAAGGAAAAAGGTAGTTCAGAGTTAGATTGTAGTAACTGTGCCAATATCCCCTGAGGAGCGAAGCCTCCTGCAGGCACTGTGCCTTTTCCAGGAGATGAAATGAACTTCTTCAGGTTTAGCCCTAAGTAAATGGTGGTCCAGCTCATAAAACATCCTGGAGTGCAGAGCTGTTTGCAGACTTTATTTGTCTTGAACCTTGGGCTTTGTGAGATCAGAGGCAATTTTATTACCCAGCTTTGTGCAGTGTCATTCCAGAAGTGATCACAAATGCCATGTGAATGTTTACTATAATAAGGAAATACGCTACAGCCCGAAAGGATGGTAGCATCTAATATAGTTCTCGAGCTGCTGAGGGCCATTCCAACGGATGGGCCCTTCCTTGCTTCTTTTTACTCTGATTTCTGCCTTAGCTAGAGCTGAATGAGGGAACATACCCAAACCCTGGTGCTCCCTAACTCCCTCCCCCTGCAAGCTGGATCATAGAATCCCCCAGGTTGGAAAAGACCTTTAAGATCATCAAATCTGACCTTTACCCCAGGACTGCCAAGTCCAACACTAAACCATGTCACTGGTGCTGCCACTGGTGCTGCGGGATGCTCCCTGCAGCTGGACACAGGGCAAAGCCAAAGGGGCAGGACTGAGCCTTCCCTCCCTGGTAAGGAGTATTGGTTTGGGGGAGCAGTTCCCCACCATGAATTAGAGCCACAGTTGCACAGTGGAGGGGGGAGCAGCAGTGGTGCACAGCCAGCTTGGACTGCAGGTAAAATGGAGCTTGGTCAGCATCCTGTACTGGAATTTACCCTTTTATTTTCCAAGATACAAGCAATTTGTCTTTAGGATCCTATAAAGGCATCTGCAAGAATATCATATAGTCTGCTAATGCTACAGAGAACCTCTTAAAAACTTAATTGCCTATGTCACCAAATGAGAAAAGAGGAGTCCCTGGAAGGATGCTGTGTTTTGAGAACACACAGTCAGTTCTAAATACTTTCAAATGGTACATGCTTCTTTACTCCTACTGACAATAAGAGTAATTGCTGAGCACAGGATAAAGGAGATTGAAACATTTCAGCATTATTTTCTTGTTCCATGCTTTTTTCACAGTGCAGAAAGACAGCACCATTCTTGGGCTGTGACCAAACGAAAGGCAAGGTTATCTTCTCATGCCAAGAGGCAGGCAAGACATGGAGATCTCAATAACAAAGTGACACTTTCAGTTTGAGAACATTTCAGCTCCCATCCCCAGTTCTCTTTGCCTCTTTCCTCACCAGCTCTTCACAATCCTCAGACATTTCAGTGATAACTAAAAGGCAGGTAAACAAAGCCCAAACAGTCACAATTAAAGCTGTGTTTTGGTGTTGGCATAGGGCAGTAGGACCCTAGAGTCCTGGAGGCACCAGGGCTGCGTGGTCCTTGCACCACATCCAGGCACAGTGCGGAAAGGTACAGCCCCTGGGTGGAAGGACCAGCACTGGACTGAATGATGTAAGTGAAGCCCCAGAGCAACTGGGGCACTGAAATCCAGGTCTCACTGCCACCAGAACACACAGCCTTTCAAAAGGAGAAAAAGCATTTAAAAACGTATGCTTTAGAAGAAAATGGGCTTCATCAGGCACAGCTTACGCAGAAGAGAGGTCCTTGAGAAACTTGATGGAGCCACAGTAGTTTTGGCTGAGCGATGTCTTTCAGTTTTGGCACCCTGCATACATGATACATGCAGCCTTGGTTCCTGCTACAACTTTGCTGCCCACAAAGATGACAGATAGGGATGCTTTCTCCCATCATTTACTCACTGCACTGACTCACTAACATCCCTATTAATTCTGGGGAACAAGAGACCATGAGTATTTCAGTTTGGTCACTCACCCATTGCTTTCACTTTGGCCATCATGTTTAGCATAGAGGATTCTGGTCAGAACTAATGTAGGTGTCTGCTGTCATTGTGTTTGTCCATTAAGGACGTGTTTCGCTCTCTGCATTCTCCTGTGAGATCCATGATGCAGCAGAGTATGTTGCAAAGCAATATCCACTGTAACATGATGTGACATCTGAAACCTCAAAGGAAACACCAGCTTATGCTGACTGTACTGTTGATATGCTTCCTTTGCACCTGCTCTGAAAGCAGGAAGAAACCTGGTGTGATCTATTGCTATAGCAATATTTTCTTTTAAATTTAAGCATTGACTGGGTTTTTTTTGTGGGCAAGCAGATATGCAAAGCAGAGCAGATGCCTCAGACTTCAAGAGACAAGGGAACATTTCTCCTTGGTTCTTAGATGAAATGGACTGGGCTTTGCTCCAGAAAACAGGAACAATTAATCCATCACTGAACATGAACTTAAATGAGCTAATATTGGGTATTTTAGTCCTGATGTATGTGCTAAATGAAGTGATCATTCAGGGCATAGAAGTAATGGCTTTGGGAAAATGTTGTAAAATGCAGTGGCTGAGGCACATGGGGCCGAAGTGGCACCCAGCTGAGGGTCTACTGCTGCTGTGCCAGAGCAGCAGGAAGACAAGGGCACCAGACTAAGCCGCACGAGGCTACACTGAGTATCCTGTGAGCACAGGATGAGTAAACGCTGCCTAGCTGAGACAGTATACAGAGCAGTTTCAATGAGGCCTGCAGCTTCAGTGCCTTTGTGCTGAAGATGCCTCTGCATTGCCCTTTACATGCCAGGGTGAATCCGTCCTCACAGTATCTGCCATCCTGGATGCTCTGCTCTGCAAGTACCACTAACCACAATTACACCCTTAAGCAAGAGGCAGCAACTGATACTTTATCATTGGGAATTTTTTTTGCTGTAACTTTTGTACCCACCTGGAGTGAGCAAACCATTACAAGCTTTATCCAATTACCTTACGTGTAGTTGGACACAATCTCTTTTCAGTGGGAGCAAGGGGCAGTCCGTTATCAGCTCAAGGCACCATCATTCATTAAGACATCATTTGGCTCTCACCAGCAGAGCCAAAGCAGCAAATCCTTAGGTTGTCATAATAAGGTGTGTTAATGAAAGATAGGCAGAACAGGATTAACAAAAGGGTCCTCTCCACATTATACCTTCCTCTTACTACTTTGCTCAGTCCCCATCTTTTATGATCTCCTGAGGGAGCATTTCAAAGGGGTGCGTGGAAGTGAGGCCCACAAATCCAATTAATTGCTGATGTGGTTTGTGCATGGAATCACCATGCACCACTTAAAAAAAAAAAAGAAGCCTGAGTGCAGCAGGTTATAACAAGGAAAATATTGGGCATAGAGTGCTGTAAATAAGCCTCCCACCCATCCCTGCCTGTTGTTCTTGCCCTGGGCTAGGAAAATCTTTGATAACTAGTTCAGCTCTTTTGCTCTCATGGTCTTGTTCATCGCATAAAACCATCTCTGCTCTTCTGAGCCAGTCCGGTTAGGATCTTATGTTTGCTGAAATTACTTGGTTGATGTGCTGGAGGCTAAGTGGGAGAAGGAGCCCACTTCTTCCTTGGGTCACAGCTCCTTGGTCTCAGGCAGGCAGGGCTCACTGGCTGCTCACAGAGGTCGTCCTTCCTGCAGCAAGCACTGTGGAAACAGTGGCACACGTCCTTGTTCCCTTCTCCCCCACAACCCCATGTTAGCCATCAGAAGCAACAGCTCGAGATGCTGAGGTTGTGGTTAGCTCTGTGAATCAAAGGGGTTCAATCAAGTGTCTTCATGATGCAGTGCTTCTTGGACTAGTTGTCTGAGGGCTGCACATTATATTTTGTCCATCTACAAAGCCGAGCTTTCGTGACCTTCGTCATTGGACTGCATGCGTGGACAGCTCAAAAATTCATCCAAGCATAAAGAGAAGATGCTTCAGTTTGCAATGTATGTACAACTACACCTCCCCACCTTGGCAGCAGGCAGGGCAACTGCGCAGCAGTTAACTTTGTTAACAGGCAAAAACCCTTGTGGTAATGGGCTTAAACATACACAGGAATAACATGAACTGACATCTTTTGCAAATTATTAATAATGCAGGTTTCTTCTGTGTCTTGTGTATGTATAGTACATAAATATGTACATTAAATTTAGCCTATTCCTTGCAATTTCTTCTTTCCAGAGGGTAGCCATTGGCACTGGGGACCCAAAATACAACTGAGAATCAGCCAGTCCAATAACTCACCTACACAATCTACACAATACATCCCTGGAGGGAATAAAGCTGGCGCCTGAACGCATGGGGGAATCTTATTTCTATCTATCTTCTGTACTGTTATGGCTTTTATCCAATTATCTGACTTTTTACCTCCTATAATGTGTTTTTCTTCCCAGCAAGCCTAGAAGAAGCAGTACACCCAATTGCCCAACAGGGAATTGCTGTGGAGATGGATGGAATGACATGACTAAGGTCACCCAAGGCCTGTGTCAGAGAAAGGAGCTGAACCTGGGGCTCTCCCAGCAGGACTGAGGATTGCAATGTAGGCTCTGGATGTAATTCAAGGATTTCATGGTTGAGAAAGGTCTCACTGCAAGTCTTGCCCTACCTCTGAAGCCAATGAGAACAGCAAGTCAGCAGAATACATATTCTAATCTTTTCCCTTCCCAGTGGATCTATGAAGCTTACCGGAAGGTCATGGGATGCCCACAGCTGGACCAGATGTGCAGTTGGTTCCTTCATTTGCTTTTTTGATTCCTGCTCTCATGTGGGTGCTTTATCAATTCAGCCCTGCAAAATTGACTTTTCTTTTTACCACTCCCAGAATGATTTTTCCATTTCTAGAGCAGGTCAGACTGTCATGGTCTGTATGTGAATTAGGGAGATGACACAGGACTGAACCAAAGTGGCATGGCCACAGCACTGCCACCAGCACAACAACCACCACAGCAACTTTTAAGGGTGTTTCCAGAGAGTAGTTCAGGATCCATGAACCATGTTGTTATAAAGAAACTCCTCTAGAAAATCCAAAACAGAGCTTAAGCCAAAAGCACAGGAAAGGATCTTCTGTCAAACATTGTTAGGAGAAAATCTCTTTGGCCAAAATGTCTCTAGCTATTTTTCTGCACTCCAGTAAGCCTGGCTGCTGTCTCCATCCTGAAGATGACTTCATTTTGCTATATTTCTCAGCCCAAGGTTCTCTGTGCCTCAAAAACAGTTGTGCTGCTGTTGGAAAATGTGTATTATCCCAGTTGCCTTTTTTCCACTGCAGAGTAATTAATCGATACTTCTCATGGAGGGCAGTCAATTCTCATTACACTGGGCTTGCACAAAGCTGTTTGGTTGGGGTTTTTTTACAGAAGTAGACTATCCAGGAGACACTTTATGCTCAGGCTGAGGTCTCTGCTTCACACTCTTGCATACTTTGGGCTGTAAGGCTGCGAAGGCAGCACAGCAAATACCACACTGCGGGCAGCAGCCACGGTTGAACTCCCTGCCAGTGTAATGAAGTTTTTCCTTGCAGAAAACCGCAGATTGGTCTGGGTTGGAAAACACCTTAAAATCATCCAGTTCCAACCCCTGCCATGGGCAGGGACGCCTTCCACTAGAGCAGCTTGCTCCAAGGCCCATCCAACCTGGCCTTGAACACTGCCAGGGATGGGGCAGCCACAGCTTCTCTGGGCACCCTGTGCCAGCGCCTCAGCACCCTCACAGGGAAGAGCTTCTGCCTTTTATATAACCTGAAGTTGCTCTGTTTAAGTTTAAACCCATTCCCCTTGTCATGTTCCTACAGTCCCTGATGAAGTGTTACTCTCTGGCATCCTTGTAGGCCCCCTTCAAACAGTGGAAGCTGCTCTGAGGTCTCCACACAGCTTCTCTTCTTCTGTGATTCTGTGAGGTGCTGCAGCCCCTGATCATCCTCATGGCCTCCTCTGGACCTGCTCCAACAGTTCCGTGTCCTTTTTTTGAGGACACTAGAACTGTGTGCAGTACTGCAAGTGGGGTCTCATGAGAGCAGAGTAGAGGAGCAGAGTCACCTCCTTCTACCTGTTGGTCATGCTAGGTAGAGTTTACTCCTATAAATATATACTCACTGTTAATATGGTGACCTGAGGGGAAGGGAGGTGCTCGCTGCTGCCTGCATGACTGCAGCGTGTGAGAACCAAACACTGAGTAGCACCAACAGAACTGTGTTTGAGTCTTACATTAAGCCTGCAAGTTCCTTCCTGACTCCACGGATTTCAGTGTACAATACAGCACTGGAAGTCTTTATTATTACAAAGAATCACTAATTCAATAATGCCACTATCCTGCATGAATAACATCCGTACAATATTAATGCATTTCCCCCATATTCATTGCGGAACACAAAGGCTGTTAACATACCGAGTCTTTAGGCTCAGATGCTGTTAATGCAGCAGTCACTGTTACCCATGAACTGCGAATGCTGAATGGAGGCTCTGGAAATTATGATTGCAAAGCACATTTTTGGATGCCATTCACCAAAAAGAAAATGTCTAAAAGTTGAAACTTCAAATAGAAGCAGGGAAGCTGTCTGGCGTTACACGATAACATGGCACTTTATTATCCCTCTTCAATTGTTTGACGTTTATGCCTCTGTTTAGCAAGTCTGTTCGTTATCATTCTCCAATTAACAGAGACTTCTTTTTCCTGACTATTTTTATGAAATTCTCATTTAATTAGCAATACAGCTGAGTCTCAAATGGCAGCTTTAAAAATATCCTTCTCCCCATCAAGCAGCCAAATGGTCTTTCTGAGATATTTGCAGCGTTGGAAACCTTTGTTTGTCTGCTAATTATCCCCCTGCTTAGATGACGGGAATGTGAGCACCTGACAATCAGGGGTTATTCACCGGATGCTTTCATTGCTCATGATGTGGAAAAATACAAATTTCACTTATTAAAACCTTCTATTGGGCTTTATTTTAAAGTAGAGAATGGGATTCATTGGACCATTCTCAGATTGCGCACAATAGGTGAGGGATTAAAATAATGGATGACAAAATGGAACACAGGTGTGATAGGAGATGTCAGGCATTCTGCAGCACAGAGCAAAATGGGAGGAAATAGGTTTATACAATAAGGAGAGCAAGAAAAAATCAAAATCATATCACTGGTAACATTTAGTAAATGGGCCCTCCCGCTATACAGCTGGAGACCATTATGGTATCTAGCAACAAATATACAAATAAGCTTAAAATGCATTTTTGCCATATATTGATGGGTGCACGTAGAAAAAAAACAAACCTTAATCCACCACTGAACTGCTTCCACACTTGTAAGGGAATGTGGCAGCTTTCCAGGTCTCTGCTGTTCAGCCCTCCCATTGCATCCTGCTCTGTACAACGCTGCCACTCTCCAGCTCCTTGGGATGGATGAGCTTGTGCAAAGCATTGCAATGCAACCACTGCCTGTGTCCAATGCTGCTGGGTCAGCAGCCAAGGATGGTTATTAGTATCATAGAATGGTTTGGATTGGAAGGGACCTTAAAGCTCATCCAGCTCCAACCCCTGCCATGGGCAGGGACACCTTCCACTAGAGCAGCTTGCTCCAAGCCCCTGTGTCCAGCCTGGCCTTGAACACTGCAGGGATGGGGCAGCCACAGCTTCTATGGGCACCCTGTGCCAGTGCCTCAGCACCCTCACAGGGAAGAGCTTCTGCCTAAGAGCTCATCTCAGTCTCTCCTCTGGCAGGTTAAAGCCATTCCCCTTGTCCTGCCTCTACAGGCCCTTGTCCAAAGCTTCTCTCCAGGTTTCTTGTTGGCCCCTTTAGGCACTGGAGCTGCTCTGAGGTCTCCCTGGAGTCTTCTCTTTTCTAGGCTGAACAAGACCAACTCCAGTTAGCTGTATAAAGGGAAAAATTGTGGTTTTCATAGCACAGGGTACAGGGCAAAATACTAAATTTGAGAATAATGGAAACATTTTATCTTTCAGGTTTTAAGACTAATTCTAGCAGGAGATAACAGGACTACCGCCCATGCCAGAGGTGGGTTTCAAATGCTATTGGTGTTGCACACAATCCGAGGGAACTTCTGATTCAGCCACTGTGGCTTTCCAGTGCTCCTGGTCTTGTTTCTGTCCAGTCCTCTGAAGCCCAGACAGTTTGAAAGGAGATACCAACATAGCCCTTTCAGATGGCTGAAGTGCGCTTCTGATTTACAAGTCTGATTTACACTGACCATCCTCACCAACTCTTAAGCTCTAAGATGTGCTTTGAAGTCAGTGTTTAGGGGCCAGGCACTAACACCTTCACGTAGGCATTAAAGGGGACTAATGAAATAGTCTGCTTCTGCCAGAGGAATGGAGAGAATTCCATAGAGAGTCACTTTGGATCTCCAGCTGCGGTAATACATTGTTATGAATCTCTATCAGTGCACTTGTGCAGCTGGAGAGTATGTCTGGCATTGCCTCCAGTGACCTTTTCAATATAGCCCAAGTCTTCAGAGCTGGTCTTTCAAGAGGCATTCAAATTGAATTTACTCAGGCAGAAAGGATTGGCCTGAGGACAGCCCTACCACTGCTTCCCATTTCTTCATGTCATTCTCATGGAAATTGCAGTTCCTTATGTATGGTGCTTCCTGTGCCACTGCAAACATCTCCCTCCCTTCAAACAGCAGGAACAGCAACCAAGCTTTTAAAGGAGGGTCCTGAGTGACCGGGCAGTCACAGCACGGTATTAAGCACAGTGGGTGAAGGGTGTTTGGTGGTGGTACCAGCAGCAGCAGAACTGGGAGGATGAAGGTGTGAGCTTAAACACAGCCTGTCAAAGGTCACAACATGGCTGTGTGCACTGGCACCCCAAATTAGCTGCTGCATGTCAAGCACCTGCCCTCATGCAAAAAGATGAAGCTCATTGCCGTGGAATGTGAATAGCTGGAATATGTATCAGCTTCAGATGCAGGAAGAGAAAGGCTTGGGAGAGGGCTTTGAGGGCTCTGCGAGACAAGAGCAGCCAAGGAGCAACATCTTGATGGGTAACACTAATGGCTCTGGGGTGAGGGCTCTGCCCTTATGCATTTGGGAGGGGGAAATGCTGCTTTTTCTTCATGTGCTTTCCTGGCACAGTATGATTATTTCATACATGTTTGTATGAGGTGCTTTAAAATGTAATTTATTTGATTAATTTGGTGTCTGTATTTTCCCAGTTTTGTTCGCCCCAATTTATGACAAAATTGAACGGAGTGGGTAACAAAATATAGCCCTGTCAGGCTCCTGTCTTCACGGATATAAAGAAAAATGTGAAACTGTCAGGCACGCAAATGTGCCAAACCCCAAGGAAAATTATTACATTCTGCTTGACATTTACTTTAATTTTACAAAATTCTGTAATACCATTATAAATAATAATAATAAAAAGCAGCATGGAAATATTGTTAAGTGTATTTATTTTCATTTGCTAGCTTTGTGATTTATGGGTTTGCTTTATTTTTTTCCCTCTCTCTGCATCAGAAGAGAGAGATTGAGCATGTTGAGCTCAACCGCTGCCACCTGTCTACCTGCAGACCAAGGGAATGGGTCACCCAAGGAAACATCCCCTGCTCATAAGAACAGGATGAAGTAACAGGAGATGTCTCTGTTTCCAAACAGTCTGCAAGTGTTTTGTTGAACTCCTGTAGCATGGCACAGGTAACTGGGCCAGATGTGTAATTGCTTATACCAGTCCAACGAAGTTGGTTTAACTGGGGATGATCCAGTAGTGCTGAGTGGAAATAGGAGACAGACACCCAAAATAAGGGTGGGAAGTGAGTAGTCTGACCCAAAGACTAGTAATGAAAGTAGGGAAAGAATTGAGCTTGCAGAAAAAAAGAAGACTCCAGAGGGTGGAAGTCAGCAGCTCTCTTCCAAGAATGGGATAAGCAAAAGCTGTTTCAGAAAAATATGCATGGGTGATGCTGAGGGCCTCATCCTGTTTACCCTGCTCGTGGGAGCTTTGCCATTCTACCCTTTCCATGAGATCAGGGTTGGCTTTTGAGGCCATCCCATCACTGAAGCTCATGTGAAGAAGCCCTGCAGCACACAGTTTTTAATCGAGAGGCAGCTGTTCTGTCTTGCTTGTTGCTGGAGCTCCAAAGGCCACCAGGGCTTGTTCTCCCAACTCACATAATTGCTTCTGAAAATCCCACGTTCTTCTCCCTGCCAAGCCTCAAAGTAGTCACACACCAAAGGAAATGGGAGGAGAAAACCAAGGCATCAAGGTGACTTTTCCTCTTGACAGATGAAGGCAAAGCAAAGTGTATGAAAATAATTGATGAGATGTAGCAACGGAGCTGGCATCATTTACATACGGAACTGACAGCATGCACCATTCACAGGCCCTTTCCACTATAAATAATGCTTTATAGTGACACAAAAAAGCCCTATTTATCTTGGAAGTTAAAAAGGCACCATTTAAGTGGACAGCCGGCTTCTGGACTCCACAAGGAAATGTTTATATAGGAGACCATGCTTTAGATAAAGATACATCACCTGGCTGGTACAGGCATGGCTCTGCAGGCAGTGAACTGCGGCATTCCAGGGATTTCCAGCCCCTGTTCATGATCCCTGTGCTCACCACTAAGGCTGATGCATTGCCTGGGACACAGATCTAACCCATGGCCCCTGAAGTCTGGAAACCTCAAAGGGCTTTGAGAGGTCAATGTTTGTTACTTCCCCCCCTCAACATTCCCCTTGTCTCTCATTTCCAAGGTGCTTGGGTCTCCTTAACTGCCTTCAGCTGTGCTGGATTTGGAGGTGAGTGCTCCCAGCTGCCCACACAAACCCACCCTCACCTAATTTGGTTAAAAGGAGCTCAGTATAAGTAGTTGCACTTTGGTAACCTGGTTTGTTCTGACAAGAGTGAATTAGGGAGTGTTCTAGGGGCTGAGATACCCAACAGATGAGGCTGGTGGCTTCTGCAGCCCAGCAAGGATGAAGATACAAGTTCTTGTACAGTTGGTACCTGATGGGGATGTGTGCAGTGGCTGTTGTGTTGCACAGGAGTTTGTCACAGCATTGGTCCTCTTGAGTTTCAGGTAAGTCCTGATGTCCTTGGATCACTGACCTGATGGAACAGGCTGAGGGGCTGGCTGCATCTAGAGGAAAAGGTGACCGGTTTCAATGAGCTTGAGTATTCTTCTAGCATGGAAGGTTTCATTTGTTTCCACCTGTGTGGGATGGTTGCTGGTGGGAACTAAATCTGTGGAGTCCTGGTCATCCAAAACAAGTAAGGAAGGTCCTCCCTGGGGTCTGCAGGAGCTTACCTCTACTGCCAAAGGCCAGTAAACCACAACCCCTCAGTGGCACTCTTAGGTGAATAGTGCTACTCCTTTATACAGACACCATCCATCTCCCCTTGCTATGGCCACCATGGCCTCTTGGGTCCATGCTCTGCCTGGCACTGGGTTTCTGCTGAAGCCTCACCTTTCTAAGGCCCTTCTGGGAAGCAGAACATGCTGCCTGCTCAGGAAAAGGCATTATAATGGGCAGCTACCTATGGAGGAAGATGGATCACCAAGTCAGAAATCAATCGAGAGGTTGTGATGGCATCATAAATCAGGGGATGCTGAGCGTTAAAAGAAACCCAACGCTTGATTTATAACTTGGCACAAGCCATTTGTCGCCAGCCAAGATTTCAGAAAGAGAAACACTTTTGTAAGCTTAATTTAACATTTTTTTCCACCATGCTAAGCATTTCTGTAGGGTTTGTTTTTCTCCCCCAGCAGATAAAACTCAATTTGCAGATAAAAAGCAGCCAAACGACATCCGAAGATTTTGTTTCACTTTGAAATGCTTGATAGGTTTGAGCTCTCTTTTCCCTAATCCAGGGTCATTCTTCTCTGAGCCTCGTCTCCTTCCTGATGTCTTTTAATATCGAGTCTCACTGGGAGTTGGAGGCTTTTCCTACTAGATGGCTAGTGCAAATCCAACTCATGCTGATGAAAAGTATTATCAGTTAATCACTTGTGTTGCTTATGTGAGGCTCATTTTGGTATCAGCAGCAGGTAGGCAGTTGCCTCACCTAAACCTGTTTCTGCCTTCCAGCAGCTGTGTGCCTGAAGCTGCAGGAGAGGCCAAACAATTAGCTGCAATAGAGACTGGGATGGGCTTTTACCCCTAAGCTGCGATGACCCAGTGGAGTGGATGAGTTTGTGCTGCTGCTGTCCAGTGCTGTGGTTGGGAACCTGCAGTTTCTGGTGCATCAGACTGGCATTATCTGTCCCTGCATCTCAGCAGCTCAGTGAGAGCATCGCCTCTGTTACACTGCCAGGCAGTGTGTAAGCAACCATTAACATATATTTTTGTGGGAAATGAGGAATGAAAGTAATATTCTGGTGTAAGGCTTTTTGAGAATTTAAAATTAAGCATCTGTTTAATTCTGGAGCACTCTGAGCACCAGTGAGGCTTGGTGAAATGGGGAAAATGCTGATCCTAAAGTACTTCATCTTTTCTTTGTAACTTTTTAATTGCATTTTGGCATGGATTGTTTTGGGGGCTTTAAACCAAGGTGGAGAAGCACAAGGGATGGGGCAGTTTTGGAGTTACCTGTTTGCATTGGTGATGTTGTGTTAGGGTACCCTGAAGCTGTGTGTTCCTGGCTGAAGTGACCAGATCATCCCCAGCTGTCTGCTGGTATTTCTGGAAGGCTGTGAAAGGCAGAGGGCTCACACACTGGCCCCATGGCAGTGGGAACTGAGAAGCATCCTGACTGCCACCAGCCCTGTGGGAAGGGATATTGGAGTGGTGCCAGGAGCCAGACTCACTCAAAAATGCCTCTGTGAAGCTGTTGGTCCTGAGTGTTCCCATCATGAGTTCTATGTCCAAGTTAACGCTGTTGAGGGTGTCTGCAGAAGCCTAGCTCTCGCCTGATGGAGAGAAAGGCACCGTTTTCAGCCGCTTAGGGGCTGGGGAGGCCATGACAGGGGGTTTGGATTTGAAGTTGGAGAAAGCTCCTGTTCCAGGTCCTGCTCTGAGGCTGTTTCCCCATCATTTTGACTTTCTCTAACTCAGTCCAGACTTGCTGAGAAACCTGTGAACCTCAGGGAAGCTCTTTGGCAAAGCTGATGTGCATTTTGCTTAGTTTGGATTTCATGTGAAACACCCAGCCCCCTAATCTACACAGTTCTTGTTTCAGCTACATTAAAGTAATGGCCAATTTGTATGTGCCAGAACCACAGGATCCCTCCACACTTCGTTGGCACTATTTGTCCATTCGACAAGCATATAATTGTGCTTCTTAATTGAAAGTATTTGTCAGTGCAAAGCATCATCCAGGAGACTACCTGGGAGGAGATGCCGTTGTGGGGCTTGTCTTGGGCAGATGCACAATGGGCCACAAAAAGATGAAGAGCAACAATCATTTTATCTATGAAAGAATGAACAGTGATGCCCACCTGGTTCCCTTCTCCCCATGGGAATGTCTGGTTGATAATGATAATAGAATGGTTATGGTGACACAAGGCTGCAGAGTGGCAATTGCAGTGCAGTGGCTTTGCAATTGATGTCACCTTCTTGGTAAAGGTGGATGTAATAGAAGCCTGGTGATGTTCGGAGTGATGTCTTCTGGCAGCAGACACCTGAAGCAAGATCAGGGCAACCAGATCGTCCAGCTAAAGCTTGCTGTAGGGGAAGATGCTCTTGCTCCAGCAGCTGCAGGTCTCCCATTCCTGGAGCAGGGCTCATCTGGAGTGGGTTATGTGAGTACTGTAGGAGCTGGTGGGGATCCCCAGCAGCATTGGGCTTTCCTTTTCTCCAGATACAGATTGAGGGTCAAAAGGCTGCTGTGTCCCTCCAAGCCCAAATCCTTCTCTTCTCCTGAAAAAGCCTTTTGAAGACCAAGGTGGTTTCCCTGTGCTGCAGAGCAGCCCTGGCTCTGCGGTAGTGAGTCGAGCACTGTTCCAAGCCTGAGAAGCCATCCATCTGCACAGCCAGTTCCTTTCTTCCTTCCCTTTTGTGAAATCACTGCCTCCCCAGGCCAGCTCCAAGCAGGGCTGCACAATGGCAGCCTGACTTAACTGCGATCTCACTTGGCAGCCTCAGACCTGGGGGGCTCTGATTTCATTTTAAAGACCCCTTCTGCCTCCCCTTATAATTGAAAGGCGAGCTTGTAGTGCAGTGAGGATCCTAAATGGGTCAGACCAGCGGGCGGGCTCCAAAACAAACATCCTTAACGCCAAACCACTGAACCATATAGTGCGAGCTGACAGTGCCTCTTTTGCCTGCTGACTTTGACCACACAGGCACCGTCTTCTTAAAGAAACAGCCAGGGCTGCTGGCAGCTCTGGGGTGGGAAGGGAAGATGTCACCAGATGGGGCAGGGCAGAGGTCCCTGTGGTGCATGACAGAGGGCTAAGGGGTAGGAAGCCCTCACAGAGCTGCAGTGGGATGTTCAGTGCAGCAAGTTGGCTGTAGTTTGGAGAAAAGGATGCTGAGGGGTGATCTCAGTGCTCTGCAGCTTCCTGAGGAGGGGATGTGGGGTGCTGAGCTCTACTCCCTGGGATCTGGTGATAGGGCACATGGGAATGATTCAAAGCTGCACCAGGGGAGGTTTAAACTGGACGTTAAAAGCATTTCTTTACCTAGAGGAGGGTCAAACCCTAGAATAGGCTTCCTCAAGAGATGGTCGATGGCCCAAGTCTGACAGTGTTTAAAAGGCATTTGGACAATGCCCTTAACAACATGCTTTTAACTTGTGGTCAGGCAGTTGGATGAGATGATCACCAAAGGTCCCCTTCAACTGAAACCTTCTATTCTTTCTGCCTGCTGAGCTTTCTTCTGTGTCACTCTGATTCCCACAGCAGTTGACCCTGCTTTAGGGTTTGTTGGTTTGGGGTTTAGATTTTTATCACATAAGCCAATAGGGAGGGTACAGCAGCTGCTTTGCTTCCCATTTCTTGGGGCATATGCATGACTTTGGGTTAAGTTGTTCTCGTTGGCATCTCCTGGAGGGATGTGTGTGTCTGTGTCCTGGCACTGCAGCCTGGGCTCTGGCTACAGGGCTGTGCCAGGGAATATGGCCATCCACCAGCAAGAAGAAATCAAAAGACGAAACTCAAATACCCTCCACTTACAAATGGTGCCTATGGTCCATTTAGTTTCATATACACAAAGTAATATTGTTCATAAGCAAAATCCCGGGAGCCTCCCAGAATACAGAGAGGATCGGTGTTGCTTAGTTACGGGCAGCACGCTGGCATGCTCAGATAAATCAATACAGCTCCAAATATTAAAGCCTTTAAAATAAAATCAAAGCCGTGTCCATAATCCCCAGTGCTTCTGCTTTACCTTTGAACAAACATGGCATTGCACTGGAGCCATGCAGGAGGCAATGAAGGACCTGGTTACTGCATGGGTTGCTGCTTCTCCTTTGCTCCCTTGCTTTTTCCTCATGATTAAAAGCAGAGAATAGGCTGCTCCATCCCAAAGGACAGAGCAGGGTGGAGAGAAAGGGGTGGACAAGCAGGCTTTGTAATGGACAGGGAAGTGAGAGCAACTTCTTGCTTCTCCCCAGCTGTGTACCATGATGTTCTGCTCTGAACAGTGATGCTGTTGTGAAGCCCTTGAGCACCCATCCTTCCTGCCAGCAAGTGTTCAGCCTTGGACAGGCACATGGTAGCAGCAGCTCTTGTCTTCTGGGGACTTGCGATGTTCACCCTGGGCAAGATGCTCCAGGTTAGACCTGACAGGATGGACCAGAGAGCCCTGAGCAGAGTCATGGTGTATCCTGACAGCCAGTGCTACTTCTGCTGAGAAACAGAGGGGGAATTAGCTACTTGAAAGTACCAGAGGAGCACCTCGGCTGCCAGGACCATGTGTCCCTGATCAGCCTGGCTCAGACATGTGGGTGCTATGGGTGGTAGATGCTGCGGATGGGATAGTATCATTCTTGGAGGGGAGGTTACTGAAGTTGATAACTTTAAGTGTTTAAATCCTGCTCTTAATTAAGTAGGAAACTGAGGAAATCATGTCCCAAAGACTGAAAGAGAACCAGCAAAGCACAGGAGAGATAATCCTCTTTGGCTCAATTACTAGAATGAATAAAACAGGTGGGAAATTGACCTAATTTGTTGGTATAAACTAATTTGCTGAGGCTGATTTTTCTCACGTATGCAGAATGGCATGGGAAGGGCTTGCTCCAGAATGCTGGCAATGTATTATGCCCACAGGAGTGGGGTGGGCTGCCAGGATCAGATCTCCAGGCTCATTAATCCCAGAGAATGGGAGCTTAGGTTCCGAAATGCAAATTTAAAGCAAGCCTAAGACCTCAGTGCATGGGCACAGCACTAAGATAAGACACTTGCTGGCGCCTGAGAGTGGGTTAAGCTGTCTATATAGACACAGCCCTCAGAATTTGTATGACAGTAATGCCTGTAGAAATCTGCCAGGATTAGCTCACTTATATTAGATTTGGTAGATACGCACATGCAGCCTCCTCTCCCAGAAGATTGTAATGTAAGTAGACAAGTCAAAATAGTAGTGAGAAAAGAGGCTGTAACCTTACTCCAGCTTGTAGAAGGCAAACTAAAGCACAGCGAGGTTCAGTTGCTTGCCCACAGGGACAAAAGAAATGTGCAGCTGACCTGGGAGCCAAACCCAGATTCCCTAAATTCCAGCCTCGGAGAGTGCTGGAAGTGCCAGGACCACTTGTGATGCTGAGTTGTGTTGACACCAGTTCTGTGGTCGCAGCTCAGGACGGAGCCCTAGCCCTTGCTGCCAGCACAGTGTGTCCATACCTGTGCTCGGCAGCTTGTGGGACACGGTGGAGCTGGTGCTGTTCTCCACCAGCTTCATGGTGCTGGTGAGGATGCGCTGCTGCTCCTCAGCATGGAGGAGGGACTGTAAGTTCTGGCTCATCCGTGGGCTCCTGGCCTGCAGCAGCTCACAGCGATGTTCAAGAGGGATCATGGTAGTGTGGTGAGGCAAATAGTGCTGATGCAGGGAGAGGTGTGTCTGGAGGAGAATTTGGAGGTGTCTGCTGTGGTTCATGCTCTGAGGTGAGCATAAACCACTGGGAGCAGAGAGCTGGAGTTCCCAGGCTGAGCTTGCTGTCATCTGTTACCTTTCCCATGGTCTCAGTGGCGTGGCTCTGATGGGTGATGGCCAGGCCTCGTGGGGTGCTCTGGTGTGAGCAGTGCTCCTGAAGAGCTGATGGAAGTTGAGCTCCGGTTGGATTTCTAGGCTCAGGGGGAAATAAAGCTCAGGCTTTATTGCTCCCTTCTTCTTCCCAGGGCTCTGGGAGATCACAGACAATGGGAAGAGTCTTAGCAGGAGGGGAATAGCACTGAATGAGGCTTCTTTTTCCTTTACTGAGCCTCAGCAGCAAGGGGATCTTGATCTGATTCACCTTGATCTGAAGGGGATGCTGAGACCTTTCTCAACCATCCCAGAGGATTTTTATTACAGGGCCACTAAGAGGAGAGGGAGGGATGGGACTCCATGAAACATTGGTTCAGTGGGTGCTCCCCTTCTGCACGATACTGCCCTTCATCTCCCCCGTGTGAAACAGGACACTGGGAATTGCCAAATTCTTGTGGTTTTTACCAGCCCTATGGCTGCTTGGGAAGCAGGGATTTATTTTTCTTCAAAAGGTTCTCAAATACAATTTCGCCTTTGTTTTCCTTCCTACTAAAAAGTACTAGGAAGTTGGGGAATTGGCAGTCTCTGGCTATAATCCACATCCAACTCCTTGTGGATAAACTTTGCTCTTCCACCTTTTCCCCCGTGTCAAACAGAGCAGCACGCACCTCTTACAAGAAACCAGATCATTTCAACACATGGCTTGTGTGGCACAAAAAGAAAAGGAGAAGCAATAAAATGTGCAGCCCATGTCATGATCCTTGTTCCAAGAGTGTACATTTTAATTGATTTGGTTGAGTTACCATTAAATCTCAAGAGGTCTTTCTCTCTTTTACCTGATCCATGAAAAGCCACTTAGACAGAGGCCCTTTTGTAGAGTATCTCCAGACAGAAGAATTCAGATGATGATTGTCCAAACCAAGGTGAGAAAACACATTTGCACTGAGAGAGACAGCTTAGAGTAGCAGGCAGCAGCATGGTACGTGAGCAGAGAAGTGATTACAGGCTGATAAAGACAGATGTAAGACATAAACAGATGAAATTTGACTTAAATATTTATAAGAATCCAGTGTGCTCTTACAAATGTTACGTTTGGGAAGGAGATACTGATTTATAGCTGCTGTTTGCACTGTTTGCCCTGCTTTTGTCACTCCGTGGCTGGAGCTAACTTGGTTGTCCCACAGTTGAGGTGCAACTTCAAGGTCACACTTAAGGAGCTGGATGCTGTGTGAGCATCTCTGAGCCCCTCTGCTCCTTCAGCAGAGGATGGTCCTTCTGTGCATGCAGCATCCAGGGGTTGTGTCCATCTTGAGGCTGGGGAGGGTTTGCACTGTGTTTCACCACAACTCTTGGTTGTGTTTGCTAACAGCACTTTGATAGTGCTGTAACAGTAGGTTATAGTCTGGTAAGCCCATGGTGCTGTTGCTAGAGGTTGGGAAGGTGTCTCCGCCTCGCCCAAACCAGTCTCCTCTGATGTGTCCCACTAAACCCTAGGGCAGCTGTGACATGAGGTTACAGTTTAGCTTACAATGGCTCACTTCTTCCAGACAGATATAAGGAGAGTCTTCACCCAGTTGCTGCAACTGGGTCAGGATCCTGAGCATTAGGTGCAGGGAGCTGGGTGGTGGAGCTGGGTGGTGGAGCTGGGTGGTGGAGCTGGGTGGTGGAGCTGGGTGGTGGAGCTGGTGGCACCGGGACTGAGCAGTGCTGTGGGAATGGGCAGGTTTGGCAGAAAGGAGCAAAGGGGGGCCAGGGGGCAAAGAAGCTGGGAGGGGACATGATTGGGGTCTCCAAGCTGGGCATGAGGAGCAGAGGGACCAGCAGCAAGCAGCGAAATGGGGCTGATGGGGACAAGGACTTGCTTACTCTTGCAGCCGTGCACCTATTCACCTTGCACCTATTCACCTCGCATGGCATTTGTAGTGGCAAATACCACCCCACCGAAGGGGAAACCAGCGAAACCCCATTGACAGTAGCTCAGGCCATGAGGGTTTGTCCCCATATGCACCTCAGTGGCTGCGAAGTCCCTACACCTTCAGCTGAGCAGGGCTGTGACTTCCAAAGACAAGAGCTCCTGCTTGCTAAACAGGAGAACGCTGGTGCTATTTATTATTAATGAAACCTCACACACAGCATTAAAGACATGGGCAATTCTTTTTGGCAAGTGTAATGAAAAAATTAATTGAATAATCATTCCATGTAAATAGATTTAGATAAGCTTCTCTTCGTTTTCTTTTTCCCCTCCTCATACCTGCTACTACTCAGTAAAGAAAACACTGATTTATTACCTGGAATATTGTTATAATTCAGAGCACCCTGTGGTGAGCTGCACTGGCTGGGGCTGCGGAGTCCCTTGGTTTCAGACAGTCTTGTTTAGGGGATGCATAGTGACCTGAGGAAAAGAAAACGGCTGTTAAACATACTGCTATTAGGAAACCAGGGAAGAAACCCCATTTTTGAGTGGTGCTCTGGCTCCCTGCAGCCCCCCTATGAGGTTGAGTGCCAGCAATGACAGTCTGGCTTTTTCTCTTTTCTGTATTTCAGTGAAAAATGGGCATCTTCTTTGGGGCCTCCAGCTCTCAGTCTCTGACATGGAGTATTTCTAAAGCTGGAAACCTTTCTTGCCTGTACTCATGAAACTTTACAGTTCGCATTACTCAGCAAAGTGGCAAATGAAGAAAGAGCCAGGAGACAATATCATTGCATAGACACTTCTTTTGGCTTTTAAAATGAACTGTCAAAACCACAAATACAACCAAACCTCCAAACCACCTTTCTCTCCCCCTCTGCAGGGACAGAACTGCGGGGAAGTGATTCAGGACCAGACTGTGCTGAGCTGTTCAGCATCATCGCTGGTTCAACGTGTCCACTTTCTGTATTTTAAGGCTTTAAATGGGCAAATTCCTCTAGCTGTGCTCTGCCCTGTATTTAAGGTTATGCAGACCGATTTTAACTCTAACTCTGCAGAATTCCCAGGACTTGTGTCACGATACGTATTCCCTGGAGCAGTATCACAGTTTGACCCGGTGTCTCTTTCAGCTCCCTGTCTCGACTGACTGTAAGATACCGGCTTTCTTGTTGTTCCCTGCAGTTACAATTAACTTCAAACAGTGTCTTATCATTAAATCAACCTACATTGAACCAGGCAGCTGCCTTAAAGAGAGACTGCTCTTACTTTTTCTGCACTTACTCAGCTGCTGCATTGCTGCTTCTGCGAGAGAAATAAGAGGGAGGGAAAAGCTACCTGCTGAAGCAAGTGCCTTGCTGCTTGCCATGCCCAGAGCTTGAGTTCCTTTGGCTTTAAATGACATCTGAGTGTGTTACTGTCCCCTGAAATGACAGAAGAGCTCAGCTTGTTGCTACCTTGAGATCTAACAGAGCTTCTACATTTTGTAGCCTGTGGACCTGAGGCAGCTCTGCTGGGTATCTGAGATCAGAAAATAGGAGCTGGCTCTTTCTCAGGTTTGGTTTACAGCTCTGGCAAAATACCTGTACCTCTTCTCTGGGGTGTTTATTCCCATTGCCAGGTACAATTGTAACATTCATAAGGTGAGTCAGACCAACATAATGAAGATTGCATCTTGTTTGTGCTCACACACACACCCCTGCCCACCCCTCCAGCGATGTGCTGAGCTGTAAAGAAGTTGCTTTGAGAATCAGAGCAGCCCCTTTGCTCAGCTGGAGTTACTGAGCATCATCTCCCTCATGAGCTTCCAGAGGTTTATAATCTGAGTGTTCTAATCCACTGTGGGCTAAACTCAACTTGGCAAACCCCACTCTGGTATGATCCAGCCTAAAAGCAGCAAAACTTGGTTGAGAAAGGGTTTTTTTTCCCCCATTAAATATCCCTGCCGGTTCTTATCCTTACCCATGCAATCCCAGGCTCGGTACCTGCTGGAATTTGGCTCAAATGTCTGTGAAAGGGGGTAAAAAGTCCTTGGCCTACAACAAAGCTGCTCTGTCTGCTGGGATTGATGCTCAGCAGTGCCACCCCCTTCCCACAAGTGAAGTCCTGGGGTTTTGTTCCAGTTCTGCCAGTAACTCCTGAAGAAAACCAGCAGAAACCACCAGTATAAAACAGGGTCAAAGGCAAGATGAAAGTTCACTCCTAACAGATACTGCTGTGTCTTTCTACTGATGTTTTATTGCCCTCCTCTCTCATAAATCTGGTCTTTCATGTTTTTTAAGGTTTGGTTCCATGTGGCTGCCCTCTGCTGAAGTGTTCATTATCAAGTTTCAGGGCTCTATTTAAACTTCTAATTAAAAAAAATGAAGAAAGTAAGTTCTAGACAGTGTAACATTGTTCTTTTTTTCTTTCTTTCTGGTTTTTTCCTCCCCTCCTGCCTGCAAAAGAGTCAGCTCAGCCTAATGCCTGTCTTCTGTATGGCCTGGCAGCGGTTCAGGACTGCTCTTACTTGGCTTATATGGAGTTTGGCCACCTCCAGTTGACCCAAGCTTCCCAGGACTTGCAGTGCAGGGGGGCAGACTGAGCTGGGCACATGTGCATGCCGACAGCAGGAGATGGGTGCCTTTGAAACTTGAGTCTTGCACATTATAGGCTGGTTTGTGTTGTAAGGGACCTTAAAGCTCATCCAGTTGCAACCCCCCTGGAATGGCAGGGACACCTTCCACTAGAGCAGGTTGCTTCAAGCCTTGAACACTAAAGAATCATGGAAAAGGAGCATTACATGGGGAAAGGGAAAGCTTTGAAGGATGTCTGCTGGGCAAACCCTTTTTCTCATGGCAGGAACTCCTCTCTCCATGTTAGCATCATTCCTGCCTACCTCTTCTTTCTGAATGGTCCTTATGGACAATACCCAAAGTCTAGGCAATCTTTTCTAAAGCACTCAGCTCCCACCTGCAGTGCTGAAGAGAACTTTTCTGTTTAGAAGGAGGTAATTTATGCTGTCATCACCTGGACATGGCTGGGAGGACTTGGGGTGGTTCTAACATCCAGGTTTCAAATGGTCCTGCAAGATGAGCTCATGGTCTCGTTAAAACTACCAGAGGGGGATTATATCAATTTCCTGTTATGAATCTGGGCTGGGTGAGTTTGCTTTCTCCCAGTCCTCAAGCTCTGGATGTGTAGCACACATCATGTCTCTAAACGTATGTTGTTAAATAGTTTACTCGAGTCTCTGCATTTCTCTTTTCTCTGTCATAAAATAAGTTTATTAGCCCATGTTGCAGGGTTGTTCTGTGGGCGATTGATTTAAATCTTCACATAAAGCACTAGACTTGCACAGAGTGTTCTGCGAAGGCAGGAAGAGCCACATCCTTACCTGGCCAAAGGCTCTTTTGCTTTGCTGGAGTCAGTGGATTTGTCACTATGAATAAATTCTGAGCCTGGAGTGAGCATGACTCACTCCTTGGCATGAGCAGGGTGAGTGTGGCAGTGGGTGCTGCCCTCCTCCTCAGTGCTTCCCAAGGCTTGAAGCCTTGCTCATGCGATGCTGTGAGCCATGTGCTTTCCCAGGAGCCTGCAGAGTGAGGCACAGGATGCTGCATGTGAAGTGCCACGTTATCTTCCCAAGGTTGTTTATCAGACATCTGCCTCTGATGTAATGAATGTCACACTGTGCCCATGCTCCTGCAGAGGAAGGGGTTTGGTCCCACGCTGGGGAAGCAGCAAGTTGAAGGTCTCAGCACATAGGAGTGAATAACAAAACAAGTGGTTGTTCTTCACCTCCATGAGGTCTGAAGGAGATGCTGAGCTCCACAAGCAGCCTTGTCCCCCATGCTTGTCGCTGTTGTGTTATCATGGGAGTCTTCCAATGTTGAATGACAGTTCAGGATGGGAGATGGAGTGCAGACACTGCTCCAAGGGAAAAGATGGAAAAGTCCATCTCAGTAAGGGTGAGGAGGACCTTGGATCATCTTGCAGTGCATCTGCTGTAGTTCCAGTTGTTTCCAGAGTCCCTCTGGCTCTGCAGCCCTCTGTAACTTCATGCAATAGAAACCAAGATGGCCTCAGTACACACATATGAAATGTTGGTACCAGAGACATGGGGAATTTGAGCTGCTGTTGCTGTTGACCTTGGCCAGATAACATGCATGCGACAGGCTTGTTTTGCATGAGACCTCACATTGAGGCTCGGCAGCTTGGCATTGGGTGCCCAAGATTATATCTACATCATGAATGTCCTTCCTGGAGGTATTTCTATGGATGTGGGAGAAGGACCGATCCAGTACATGATGGGGGACTATTGCTGTTCATGGTGAGTAATTAAAATCTTCCCACAAGTCCCATTCCTGCACGACAGCAGGGGCCCTGTTACAGCTGGTTTACACATCTCATGCACAGCAGCAGCTTTTGAGCACAGCAGAAACCCATGACGTGGTTTCACCTCTTGGTCAATGAAAATGGTCCCTGGTTTGAGTTTAAGTAATGCTTTTAATGCTATTTTCATAGAATCATAGAATAGTTAGGGTTGGAAAGGACCTTAGGATCATCAAGTTGCACAACATGGAGGAGCCATAGGGTACAGGTAGTGTGTGGATGCTGCCTGTCTTTGAGAATGCCATACATTGCTCATAACTGTTGTAAAACATCAGATAATCACATTAAAGGAAGAAACCTCTGAGGAAGGCTGTGCTTCATTCATCTCAAGTACCAAACACAGCTCCTGGGTCCTGCAGCCTTTCAGTCTCAGCACCAACACCAGGTCTCTCCCATAAATTGGAGCATAAATGGCATTAAGATTTCCTTCCTCTGCTTCAGGGCACCAAGGTCAGAGCTCTGCAAGCTGAAGCAAAGATCTGCTCTTGGGTCCATCACCTGAGAGAGTCCATCCAGCAGTGTTTGTAACAGGTACAGGGCATCCTGGCCAACCAGGACCTGGAAGATCATAGACTTATCAAATACTTTGGGTTGAAGGGACCTTAAAGCTCATCCAGTTCCAACCCCTGCCACTGGCAGGGACCCCTTCCACTAGAGCAGGTTGCTCCAAGCCCCTGTGTCCAACCTGGCCTTGAACACTGCCAGGGATGGGGCAGCCACAGCTTCTCTGGGCACCCAGTGTCAGCGCCTCAGCACCCTCACAGGGAAGAGCTTCTGCCTAAGAGCTCATCTCAGTCTCCCCTCTGTCTGTTCATCCTCAAATGGAAAATACAAGGTCTGTCATGTTCCAGTTCTGTCTTTACTGTGACTCCCCAGGCTGCTGCTTGCTGGGCTTCTCCATTTTAACCCTGGGGAAAAAAGTGGCTGGCTTTGCTTTTACACTTCTTTTTTTCATCATGGATTTCTTTGGTTAGGAGGAAACGTGGATAATGGCTGCTGTGTGTCAAGGGGAATCTCCGACCTGAAGCTCCTGCAGGCTCTCCTCCTTCCTTGTGCCTCTGAAGAGCAGGGCTGTGAGCCTGGATTCGGTCACCCAGCAGGTGTGGGTGGGCTGCTTACCTGGGCAGCAGCCAGTGCTCTGAGACCGTAGAGAGGAGGGAGCTGGTGGGACCGACGGGAGCAAACCTGCTGTCCCGTTGCCCCTCTGCACCCCTCATGCTGGGCAGTGGCGCAGGCAAGTCATTGCAAGGTATCGATTGTCACAGGAACAAAAGCAAAGCAGGAGTAAAGTGCAGTAATCATGTGAGAGGAGGGAAACTAGAGAAGTACACCACAGGTTCACTTAACTCCTGCTTGGTCGATAAGCTGCTTATTGAAACGCATTATTCTTCTGTTCCTGATTCCCAGAAGTGTCTGAGCTGCCTGGAAGACCATAACAAAACAGGCTGCCTCCTATGTCTGCCATTGATTTTAATGGAGAAAGACAGAGCGCTGTGTAATAAAGTGTAAAAAGATGATTCCTCCAAACGAATAGCACAATGGAATATCAAAGATGGTGATTACCATGGAGTTGTTTCATAGTCTTGTCTTTGCACAACGAGTGGCTGGCTGGCTCCTTGACACCACCATCCTTTTTCATGGCTGTGATGCTAATTTAGGGTTCTCACTAAAGCAACCACACTGGATTGAAGCTCATCCCCATACAGAGAGGAAAATAAGATGATTTAATATTTGTTTTGTTACTCTGATACTAATTATTTGTAATTTATGAGCAGGTATTTCCTTTTTCAGTCTGTTCCTTAGAACAAGAGCTCCTATTAAAACCCTGTGGAACAGATTCCTTCTGGATTTACTGACTAAAACCATAATGGCTTGGATGAACATTTTTTTTTGATGAATGAAAAAAAAAATAATTCCAGACCTACCAAAAATGCCTCATTCAATGGCAAATTAAGTGTTTTGGTTTGGGGAATGGAAGGGAACAGCTTTGTTTTTATGTTAAATTGAAGTCAATGTAAAAGAAGAACAACTGAAAACGTGCCTGGAAAACATTTGAGCTGAAGAATGGGCTTAAGAGCGATGCTGGTGTTGATGTTGGCATAAATAAGTTTTATGATTTCAGCCTTGCCCAACTTGGAATTATTATTTACTAGGGGGCAGGGAGGAGGACTATCCTTTACCCAAAAGAGTTTGCATGGCCTGAGCCATAATATAACAAATGCTAAAATGTGATTTTAAAATACAAAGTTACTTTTAAAACCTAAGATCTGAAGGAGAGATTTGGACCAGATGGATTCTGTTTTCAGTGATAGTTGGGGGTCTCTTTTCTTTGACATACTATTATTATTTTAAAATGAATAGCAAGAAAAATGCCCAGTTCAGGCTAAAGGAATGCAGCAGCAGGACAAAAAAGAAGTGTATTGTTTTAACTCTGTAGGTCCTGTAGCACAGC